ATAGACTAATAATAGCGTAAAGACAACCTCAGAGAGTATAGTAATGTAGCAGGGCATGCTGTCCATGAAGAGTATAGTAATGTAGCAAAGTATGGTCCTTCATGGACAGCATGCCCAAGACCTTCAGCGGCACTTTGTCGACAAGGATGAAGGAAAATTCAAAATAGGCGATCCCAACTTTACTATTTACAAAACCTCTGGATTCGGTCAATTCTGTACCTGTTAAAGCTAAAGGAGAAGCATGAACACAGTCTCTGATGACTAATTCCCATATTCTCTTCAGACTTTTCGTTCGTGAAAAATGAATTACATGCAAGAATTTTAGTTTTATCGATATTAAAATTAAGAATGTGCTACTTCATTTTATTGAACAATTAAAAACCATTACATTAGATTGAAACGATATTCCGGTTAGTTTGGACCTTGAATCCCTCTTTATTAAAGTTCCTATTTCCGATACTATCAACATTATTTCCATTAAACTAAAATCCGAGAATCTGGAACCAAACCTTCTTATCTTTCTCCATTCTGACATCCCGACATTCGAAAGATCGCTGATCATATCAAAAGGTAGACAAGCATTGATTCTGGTTAATACTTAACTTAATAAAACGTAGTGTAATAGTATATTATGCAACAAGTGCAGTAAACGGCATTTAACTCACGAGTTTATTTGACACGAGCGGAGCGCAGCGGAGCGAGTGTTTAATAAACGAGCGATTTAAAAAGTTTACCGAACATGTTGCATACTATACTTTTTCTACGTCCGTTAGTTTTTGGGTACATTTTCGCAAAAAAAAACACGAATACATTCACTGATATGACCGTCAAAATTGACAAACGTCAAAATTCAAAGTGTGGGAAATATCTCCGAAAACATCCGATTGCTCCCAAATCCGTGCGGTAAAATCCCGGAAATGTCCGAAGTAGCTCGGATTCCTGGGAAACGAAACTGACGTGGTAAAGTGACGCTTCCCGCACGCTAGATCGGTGGGTAATTAGGTATTTTACAGACGGGAGTCGAAAAAATGTATTTAAAAAAACCTTAAAAACTGTTAGTTTTAAAAGAAACACTACTTAAACCTTTCACGTCTTTCCTAAAGTTACTATTATTTTTACGATAATTGAGGCCTCCATCCTATGTATATATGCTCACACGGCCATTAGTTGCTTTAAAAGACATTAGTGTTGTGTTTTTATTTTATAGGAATTTTAGAAGAGGTTAAGTGTTTTAAGTTGATAGTTTTATATTGAATTTTGAGAAAGCAGGAGACGGATTCTCAGTCAATCGCTCTTGTGTCAAGAAAATAATACACGAAAGCAATAAAATAAAATAGAACAATTTATAGAATAAAGTGCTTTCAGCGTCTATATCTGAAACAAACATGAAGGCTGATGAGCTAAAAAAATTTAGTTGTATGACTCTTCATTTCGAAAAAAAACTTAATTCTAACTCAAGATCTCAAGAGCTGTGTTTTATTTTTTTAATTAAATGTTAAAATCGACTGTTCAAAATCGCAAATTTTTAGATTGTTTAACAAATAAACTGGTCATGTCCTCTTCGAAAATTGTTTCTTTTGTTTTGGATTTTTTATCAATATTTCAGCTATATATTATTTTTAATTATTTCCAGTTTCATTCCAAAAATAAATCTCAACCACGAGCTTTGGACTTGTGTTCTTGGTTTATTGAAAACACTCACACTAATTAAAATGTGGCACCATCACAAAAGCACTAATTCTTCAATATTAAGATAATGCTTATATGGGTGCAGCAATTTCGAATTAGAATAATTCTTTTTTAAACAGAGGTTTATATGGTTAGAAAAATTCAATTTTGTATTTAATATTAGGTCCAGGTTTTTGGTAAATATAAGGGAGATAGATTATTTCACTTAGATTACTTTAGTTAGATCGAAGTTGATCGTTGTACTCGCCAACTGTGTGTCGTCACATTAAAGTGGCAATCGCAGTGCTGTTTTATTTATTTATTTATTATTATTATTATTATTATTATTATTATTATTGTTTATTGTTTAGGATTTCTAAAAGTTAATAGTTACAAAACACTAGCTGCAATAAATTCTAACGGAAATGATGATTTTCACAAATAATAAAGAGAAACATATCTCATTCATTACTGAAAAGGATCGTAGCTTTGGAATGGACATGAACCCTGCACCAATTCACTCCTGCTTTAGATTATCCATTTGCTTCACATATTTAAGACCTTATAACGCTAACTGTATAATTTTTATATAACATAGGTCCCAAAGTACTTCCCTGTAGCACCCTTTGACACGATATCAGTTTGCAGTAGAATAATCTTTGCACACTTTCCGAAGGCAGGAAAGTAATGTCCAATTAGGCAAGAATGAAATTTGAGATTATGAAACTATAACAAAATTAAGGTAATGACAAGGGCATCCTCACCAAATGCTTTTGATAGGATCGGACCAGAATCAACATTATTCAAATATCGTTAAAAAAATTTTATATTAACCACTAACTATGATACTAGGTTGAATACCTCAATATGAAGAAAGTTTGGCTATCGTTTAAGGCCACAGAACCTTTTGTAGGTCCTATTAAACACATTGTTGAAATAACGCGTGTCACTATCCCAATATAATTAGCTGCCAATTGCTTGCACGGCTCAGAGAAATTCCTGCACTTCTAATTTCTACACGTCGATAAGTACTCACAACACAGTTACTCAAAAAGGCCGCGTTATTGTGATACTTATGCTGATGCGGTCTTTGAACAGACCGAACTGTTAACTAAATCATAAATAATAATGTGGAACGAGCAAAAATCACAGCCAAACGTGAAGGTGTGTATCGGGATATACATACAAAGCGTCATTTACATATCGCTCTTTGTAGTTCTCGAACCGCGCAAATGTAAAACTGCAAAAAAGTTCCCAAGCTTATATCGAACGACTATTTGCTATACAGGGTGGTATCTAATTGAATGTCAATAATCAAGGGGGCGATTTTTGGTTCCATTTCAAAAAAAGTACTTCATATGGACATGTGTCTTAAACGTATTAACTTTTGAGATACGGTGTGGCCAAGTTTTCAAAAATAAAATATATATCAAGAGGCATTATTTAGTGTATGGTCTGTTCATAGATAAAAGAAAGTGACCAAATGGTTTTGAATGGGATTTCCAACCTAAAGTTTCGGAATTTAAATTCAGGTAAAATTGTGGTCAGTAATAGAAAATAATTTTATACCTACCTGTCTTTAATATTCTTTGGTTTGGTATACTATTTAGTTTAAGTTTACTAGTAATCATTCTTATTTCGTGTGTAATGCAGCGTGTGTTGAGTCGTGTGAGAATTATGCAAAATATGTGCGAATCTAGTGTATCTCAGGAAATGCTCCCGCCCAAATGTAGAAAACACTATTCTATTGAGACTAAGGAAGTTATAAACAATATTTATTTGTCTCTCATTGAACGTGGTGCCAGCAAGCAAGCATCTTTAGAAGAAACGGCCACATTGGCGAAAATTCCAACATCAACTGTATGGAAAATTGTGAATAATCCCATTTCAGCGAGGACAAAAAGAAGCGATGCTGACATTTCCTCGAGTGTAGATGAAAGTGATCAAGATATAATACGGTGTAAAATTTACCAATTATATGAGGAACAAAGCGTGCCTACATTAGATATCTTAATTAGGAGGCTTGAAAAAGATGAAACCGGTGTTAAATGTGGCAGAACTACCTTATGGAAGTGTATTCAACACATGGGTTTTAGATTTTAAAAAATTGACAAAGGCAAAAGTTTTAATGGAATCTTTTAGAATTCGGAAATGGCGACTGGAATATCTAGAAAAAACTTGAATTTACAGAGAACAACAAAGGCCAATTATTTACTTGGATGAAACCTGGTTCGACACATATGATAAGTGCAAAACAAACGCGCCATCAAAAATTGAGGTAAAAGAATAACTATTTTGCATGCTGGCTCTAAAGATGATTGGATTCCAAATGGACTTTCTCTGTCTGCGAAAAATATTAAAGATACTTCTCTGGATTACCATGAAGACACCATCTCTGATTTATTTGAAAGTTGGTTTAAAAACAAACTAGTTCCAAACATTCCTCCTAACAGAGTCATTGTAATGGACAATGCAAGTTGTCACAGTAGACAGTTGACTAAAACCCCTTCCTCATGTGACACAAAAGCGACAATCCAAAACTACATGTATAATAACGACATTTATTTTCACGAAGATTATACCAAAAAGCAATTAATTGAGGTTCTTCAAAGCTTGAACCTACAAAAGGAATACATGAATATGTGACACAAAAGCGACAATCCAAAACTACATGTATAATAACGACATTTATTTTCACGAAGATTATACCAAAAAGCAATTAATTGAGGTTCTTCAAAGCTTGAACCTACAAAAGGAATACGTCTGTGACAATTATGCAAAAAATCTAGGGCATACAGTTTTAAGATTTCCACCTTGCCACTGTATTTTTAATCCCATTGAACATGTTTGGCACCAACTGAGATCTGCCATTCGTCGTAACATTGTTTTTCCCCGTGTTAACTCCAATGTCCCTAAACTCACACAAACCGAAGTTTTTAACATCCCTCCACAAAGTTGGGCAAATTCTGTTAAACATATAGAAAAAGCAGAACAATCCATATTGCAAATAATATAGAGCAAATAGTAATTAGAACAGGCAATGATAGCGATAGTGATACTGATATATTATGTGAATAATTTTGAGTAATTTAAGTAGGTAATAAAAATAATTTGTAATTTTATTTTAGATTTAAACATAAATACATAAATAAATAAATATTGTTTAGTATCTTTCCTAACAAAACCCCAAATAATTACATTCTAAGCAAAGTACGAGCCTGTTCGGCCATATTTCACTTTTACAGCTTGCCCGGCTCTTTCCTTAATTCGTATCGGTTAGTCACTCTCTTATATCTATGAACAGACTTTACCCCGTTTTTTGGTTGTTGCAGAACCCAGCAACTACGTTTGTTCCACGTGCAAATCGCGGCTGCATTCAGCTTGGAGGCTGGTCCAGCACGTCCAGCACTCGCACGGGATCAAAATATACGTCGAGTCGTCTCCGACGTCGTCCAAATCCAGTAACAACCATTCGGCGAGTTCGGCTTCGAGCAGTTCCTCCGGGTGTTCCTCGGGGGCTTCGGCCGGAGCGCCGCCTCCGGCTCCCAACATGCGACACCATTTGTTACCGCCGCCCGATTTGCACAACCCGTTCGGCGTCGGCGGCTTGCTCAGACTCCCGCTGCCCCCGTTGAACCACTCGATGACTCCCGTACCGCCGGCACCGCTATTTTCCCGGCCCGAACATCACTATCGCATCGATCAGCTGGTCAGCGAGCAGTTCAGACATCACGGCCTCAACTTGGCGGCGGCAGCTGCGGCGGTCGCGGCCGGACAGGTGCCGCAGCCGCACGCGAACTTTCCTTCTCCAGCCGACAGAGGCGGTTCGGTATCCAGTTTACCACCGAGAGAGAGAACCACACCGAACCAACCGTTATCACTCGAACCACAGCTGGATTTTTACTCACAGCGGTTGAGGGCATTAGCAGGTACAACCAGTCCTGGGGCGGCACAGGCGAGCTCACCAAGCCCCAGGAAGCTTTCACCGCCATTTACAAGTCCATCGCCTTGTCAAATGCCGCCAACTACAATCCAAACTAACACCAGTTCGTCCAGTAGTAACGGCAATCCGACAAATAACAACAACAACAGTGCCAACAGCGGGAACAGTTCGAGCAGGCCGCCCAGCGCGTCGCCGCCGAATAGCAGTGCCGACGATAAATTGATAAATACGCCGCGATCGGCCTCCACTCCCCCGGGAAAACCGGGATCGCCTCGCAATTCGACGTCCGCGGACGCTGTCCACGCTTGCGACTATTGCGGCAAAAAGTTTCGGTATCAGAACAACCTGGAGGTGCACAGAAGAAGCCACACGGGCGAGCTGCCATACAAGTGTTCGGTTTGCGACCAGGCGTATTCCGGGAGCGGCAAGCTGAAGAGGCATATGAAGGAGCACAGGAGTCAAGAGGATCGTGCGAGCAACGCCGGATCCTTGGAGACGTTGGACGGCGACGACAGTGAGGAAGAGGACGAGCTCGACGACGACGACGACGAAGACGACATCGATGCGGAAGAGGAGGAGGCGGAGGACTTGAGCGTGCCGAGCCAGGGCTCAAAAAACTCCAACCCGCAGCCGTCACTGGTCGGCGAACTGATGGACAAGTACGGCCTCAGCAACATCGCGCAGTACAGCGAGGCCTACAAGCAAGCATTGCAGGAAAGCATGCAGGAGAGCAACTCGGCGCTGAAACTCCAGATGGCGAGCAAGGATCGCGACAACAACAACACCTCGCTGTCTCAGCTTAAAATCAGGGAGGAGTTCAAGGGGCTGTTGTCGGGTCCGCCGCCCCAACCTCTGCCGCTATTTCCCTCCTTCGACTACGAGGCGACGAAGAGACTTAAGCTGGACTTGGAGAGGAACGACTGGTGGTTATCCGGGTTACCTAGGGAGGGCAAAGGGGTTCCAGGGCCGAGCGCCCTTCTACCCAATCCCCTGCTGAAAAAAGAGAGCAGGCGTAACGACACGTGCGAGTTTTGCGGGAAAGTCTTCAAGAACTGCTCCAACTTGACCGTTCACCGGAGATCTCATACCGGCGAGAAACCGTACAAGTGCGAACTGTGTTCCTACGCGTGCGCTCAAAGTTCCAAGCTCACCAGGCACATGAAGACGCACGGCAGAATAGGCAAAGACGTTTACAGGTGTAGGTTTTGCGAGATGCCGTTCTCCGTGCCGTCGACGTTGGAGAAACACATGCGGAAATGCGTCGTGAACCAAGGAAAGGGTCACATGTTGGGCAGCGTTCCCATGTTGAGCGGCGACGAAGATTCTTCCACCAGTATCGCGTCGAAAGAGGCAGCCACATGACTCTTTCCTTGGAGCGGAATACGCTTTCCGGCTCCACCACCAAGCTTAACGTACTAGTCTTGTTTGTTCGATTTGAACCGTTTTGTTGTCGCACGGGGTGACGGTAGAGTCGATTTCGGTTTGTTTTATCATTAACGATCGATCTGGCGTGACTCCGTTGCCCGGTTTGAGGACGGTTGACGTTTCCTAGAAACTTTGACGGCCGCGATGTACAATGGGCCAGGGAAACCCTAGGTGTTTGACTAATTCATTATGAATAAAAAGAAAAAAATATTACGAACATCAAACTTTAATACAATATAATTATTATACAAGGTGTTCACAGAAAACTCTATATTTACAAACAGTTTTTAATTAAATCATGAAACCGATACGTAAATAAAATAATAATAAATAGTAAATAATAAAAAGTTATTTATTTAATATCGATGAAAACAAAATATTGTTATCGGATTTTTTTAAATGTCTAAGTTTGTTTGCTTGAAAGAAACGAAATAAGGGTTTTTATACATCTAAAGTATCATTGAGTTAAACACTTTGCTCTGTTTTGTTACAATTTTTGCATTAGTCGTAGCTCTAAAAAAGTTAAACCATTGCGTCGCAATAAAAGCGTTCTAATTTGTATATTAATAGGTCAAAACTTATAACGAAAAATATTTTTCTCCGTTTCTTTTCTTTAAAAAATATATTTTTTAAATCGAACAGGTGGGATCAAGATTGTGTCTTACACGTAAGACCACAACATGTTACTGTAATACACAGAATCATCCCTAAACTAAACTAAAATTGTAACATATTGCTTAATAAATTACAAACAGCCTCTTTTTGGGCTATTTTTTTAATATGACTCAAAGGGATGTAGAATTTTTTAGGAGTAATTTACTTAGCATAAAATTAGTCTCGAAACTTTACGGGCTTTCTGCATTTTGAATTGTGTCAAATGCTAATTTGTTTAAAAAAATCCCCTCCACTTTTCACAAGGAACAAAACAAACGTTATAAAATTATTGTTGCCGTTTCCATGGTAACAAGACGACTTAAATCGCTTGTTTTGTGAACTGTCATGACTTATTTAATTAGCCTACGCTAAGGAAAACTTTCATTGTACGAAATGTATCATGGGTTCATTTCAATGGTTTCGACTCTCCCTGGCCCATCGTGCGGCGGCGGCCATTGATGTTTCGCGTTCGGCAACTTGAACCGCGCTTGAATTAGTTAGATTTGTACAAACATTTAGGTGTAAAATAATCCCCAACGCGCGATTGTTGTTCTATTTGTAACCGATACCAAAGCAATGTTTTTTCTTATTATTGATTATTGAGTTTATCATTAATGTATTATATATTAATTAGGTAAGTTTTGTTGATCGAGACTGAGGGTTGTCCACGAAATTCGCGCTTACGGGGCCGAATTTTTCCAATCTGCTGTACATTCCCCATCATATCAATTTTTGGCCAGTATGACATAGCCTAATGACTGTACATATATTATTTATTATTTACAACGTTCCCTAGATTGTATATGAAAATTGAGAAACAATATAAATATTCCATCGATGTGTATAGAATTAATTTTTACGTATAGATCCATGTTCGAATCGGTGTTAGAGTTGTGAATCTTATCATAGAAAATTTCAGGGTCAGGCAAATAACTTAACGTACCAGTGACGAACGGCAGTATTTTAGAATTTATCCTGTTTTTTTTATTAATTAGTATACGAAAAACTTGTCACTTCCCGTCATAATTATACATGTATAGCGTAGTTCGACAGCGGACCAGGGTCTATAAAAAGTTGCTGTAAATGTAATATTTATTGTTTCGAATATTTTTTATTTATTTTAAACAATGTAAACGTAGCACTTGTACGGGCTACCGCGAAAGGCTAATTAAAAAAAAGTGTTCCTATGCTGAATACCTATTTCAGTGTGTATTTAAATTAAATCTATTACGAGTCCTGCATTCGTTTTATTTGAATCCCGTCGATTGATATCGGAGACAGACAAGTTGCGCAATTTGAACGAAAACAATGCTGTGCAAACAGACACATTCCTTATCACCACTTGACAATGATAGCGTGTATCCGCGTGTTTTAAAGTTAAAATCAACCTAGGTTCAATATAAATAAGAAATTTTTAGTAATAAAAGCCTAAAAACTAGCTTGCCAACATTTGTTAGTTTTCAAAAACAATTTTACAACTTTACATCAAATAATACATTTGTAACTGACGAATTCTTAGGCTTTATTCCTTAATGCCAGAGAATAGTTAAATGTTAATTTGTAATTACAATTAAATATGTAATACAAACATTTCCTAAACGCCTTAACTTTTGAGATACAGGTGTTAAAATTTTCAACAATAAAATATATATTTTTTAATATCTGTAATATCACTTTACATATTTTAATGAAATTTGGTTAGTTATGCATTATTTAGTGTACCACAATGATTTTAAATACACGTGTATTGGGCGTACGGCACTTCACCCGTCAATTTTGGCGCACATTGACAGTACCCCACTGATTTCTCTTAAAATAAAAATTACTCTTACAATCTGCAACCATTTCTAAAGAAATTTAATTTCTTGATTTTTTCCAATCGGATGTACGGTTTTCGCTGAAAAAAATAAAAACCTATTCTCTGCATAGTCGTAACAATATCGTTCATATGACAGCATGCAAAGAAATTAGTTTTGATTTTTAAGTGAAAACTGTGCGACGAACTACAAAAAATTAAGGGAGAACAAATCTGCTCATAAATGAATACAAATGTCATTATTGTTTTTTTAAAGGAAATCAGTGGCGTGCTGTCTATAAACAAATAATGGGTTGGTTAATTAGGTCGCCACTGGTTAAATCGAAAATAAATTATCTAGTATTTTTATATAAATATTAACAAAAATGTCTGTTAATAAATTAATCCTTGAAGGATATACGCGTCAGCTCTTTTCATTATATTGCCGCTTACTCTTTGAAGTTAACCTCCAGTTCTTATACTATCCTTCTACTCTTCTACAGTGTTAACTGGGGTGCACTAAACCGGACTAAGATTTAAAGTGATATTACAGATATTTACAAAAATATTTTGTTTTTGTATACTGTACCAACTTCTCTTTCAAAAGTTAAGACGTTTAGGGAAAAAAGCACTCAAAAATCGCCTCTTTAGTTATTGACATACAATAATTACGAATATATGAAAACCGATAAATTGTAATAAATATCAACAGTTTAAAAAAAAATCTACTAACTTGCAACACAATTCAGTCATCAGGTTCCAGATTTATACCATTTTACATTCTTCAACATTTCTTTCTGAGGTTGCTTATTGTATATGTCTTTTTTTTTAATTAATTTAAATATTAAAAAAAAATTGCTTGAATTAATGAGTAATTTAAGAAATTTTTCTTTTTTATATTATGGGTTAATTTAGTGTTTTCGAATTTTACACTTTATATTTCTAAAACAAACATTTTAAATACTTAGTAAGTAATGTCAGAAGATGGCAGGTTTAGTTAACCCAACAGAGTTTATATATTTCCTCTGTGTTGTAAATAATGTGCAAATGCAAGCAACGCTCTTTCCTAAAGTCTTGTTCATTTCAAAAATATATAATTATATATAATCTTCTTCAAACATTCTTAAAAAGCACTCGCTTCTGTCGTTCCAAGTCAAACCCTTTTGTCATATAGATAATATGCTAATATATGACACAATATCCAGAATTAAGCATTTTTACGCAATACACAATGATGGAGCAAATGATATTTGTCGTCGTTTAAAACATCTTCTAATGGAACATATACCTCCGCATTTCTTAAACAACCTTTGTGTTTACAATTCTAAATTTCAAGAGTGCCCTCCTACTATCTAGATGACACCGCAATTGCTTTAAACTGATACCGGTACACTCGAGGACAAAGTGATATCACAAGTCCATTGTTTCGACTGAAATTGGACGTCAATTTCGATTTCTAAATACCAAATAATCCGTGCTAAATATTTGTACTTAGCCCCAGAAGAAAATCAAAGATTTGTATGTGGCGGCGACCCCTGTCGGTGAACTTGGCAACCGTGAGTCAATAAGAACCCCGCCCGCTAGTGACCCCTAGATGGCACGCCACCCAAACCACGGTCTTGTACAGTAAAGCCTTCAGTCGATTATATGAAAAGTTCCGACGGGGCATATATTTCTGTATGCGTGATGCCTCTTTAATGTTAAATTATACAATTACCTAATTACCCTAATGTTTATATGACACCGTCATTGCTTAAGAATGTCCCAAGTCAAAATAAGATGCTGCGTTTATAATTTTAACAATAGACGTTAGTTTTTGTTAAAAATCCTAAATGCAACATCCGCCCTTTCGATATTAAGAGACTGACGAATTTAGCCCGGGGTTTTCTAAAAAATAATTTTAGGTTTATTAGAAAAAAATATGGACGAAATTATAGACGGTGTAGGGACATTGGCGTTTCACCAATATTTTCATATAAACTAAATATTTCAAAATTGTTTTTAAATTGGAGGGGGGTTCGGCGGGCATTAAAAACCACGCATCTCGAGCGAAACTCATTTTTTTGGGGGCGGCGGGGGGGGGAATATTTCGAAGGACCTAATAAACCGATTTGCAAAATTAATTGCAACTGAAGAAAGAATTATTAAAAACGGTAAGATTTGGAATTGGTGAACCCTGCAGCTGTACCGTAAACGCGTTTTTTGGAAAATTTATGTAAACATCGGTTTTCGACTATAAAATTGCCAAGGGATATCCCGAAAGGCCTTAAAATTTAATGCAAGAGAGGAACCGCTATTAGAAACTTTCGAAGTACTTGTGTTTGTTTTTATATCAAAATACAAAATGCATTTTTCATTTACTTTCTACAGAAAATTCTTAAATGTTCAAAATTCGGGAGAGCGTTTTTAAAAATAATTTATTACACAGAAAGCGAAATAAAGTTTTATTTGGACTAGCCGATATAAAGGCTGGAATAATTCAGAGCGGATTTTACACTATGATAATCGAATAAATAGAGCTTTTGATGCGGTGTATGCGGTGCGTTATCTTCGCTTAGCTTTGGGCTTCGTCTGCAGTTTGGTTCATATAACTCTTCCCCCCTTAACTTTCGAAAATAACGGAGCGTTTTTTCGAAAAACCTTCAGAATTTTCGTCTTGGCAGGTTTCCTCTTTGGATGCGTTTTTGTTTTGACTCTTTTTTGTGTTTTGTTCCCTAACTTTAAAATTGAATTGAAATCGCTCATTTACGATTTAATTTGCTTTTTTTTTCTCTTTTTCTTAACCTAATCGCGTGCAATGCGAGCTCCAAACTATCCCTTCAAGTGACCTTGTACAGAGGTATCGGAGGGGCAAAAGGAAATGACACTTACGGTTTTGTATTTCTCCGTCTCCTTTCCGGCTCAATTTTCCAACTCGTCACATAAGAGTTGTACCTTTGTAGACCGTCGTTCTGATTCCCTTGCTGCTGGTTCCGCGCACTGAAGGATTTGAATATCCTCGTAGTGAATGTCCAAAAGTTTCGAACTTTCCTCGATTGGCGATTTCACAGAAACTCCCAGAAGATTCTGGTTAATTGTCCACCACTACTGCACTTAGAAAATCCGTTCCGACTGCGCCATTTAAATGCTCAAAATTCGGGACAGTGTTTTTAAAAAAACATTTATTACACAGAATGCGAAATAAAGTTTTATTCGGACTAGTCGATACAAAGAGCGAAATGATTAAGAGCACATTTTACACTATGACAATCGAATAAATAGGGTTTTTGATGCGGTGTCAGCGATGCGTTATCTTCGCTTAGCTTTGGGTTTCGTCTGCAGTTTGGGGCATATAACTAATTCGAAATTTTTATAGTAGGTCACCGTTTATTACATATATTTTTGATTATAACACATTTTTTTTTGCTGATTTAACTTGAAAAAACTCGGTTGTAATAAAAAAATTTAAAACGCGTTTATGATAGCATTGGAGGCAACTATTTTTTTGTTGTAATGTTTAGTTTTTATAAAAACGTTGACTTGAAATTCGTGATATTCTCATATTTCGTTGGATAAGTTGCGTATAATATAAATATACATACTTATTCCATTTTCAAAAAACGCTAAGTTACTCTGAGCAACGAACAAATATCTACCACTAAACTGGAGTGCCTGAAATAAGATTCTGTACTGCTGCCAAATTAATGAAATTGAAAGTAATTTTTCTATGATTTTTGTTAAAACGTGTTATCACGGAGTAATAAATTTTCATATATTTTATTTTTATTTGTCATCTTGCGACGGGTGAAGAATGAAACCTGAGAGTGCTTGCTTGTGGAAAAATCGGAAATAATTTCTTAAATATTAAATAACAACGCAAATAAATAAATCGCGCTTTTTTGAGACACCCTCTAGATTTTAAAATTATGTTAAATCGCGCATTCTAAGAATCTTTACAACTGTTTTATTCACCATACGTAACATTATTCTTGTGATATAAGTATTGACAATTGGCGAGCAAGAATATTTTTCAAGTTTTTTTTATATGAGATCACTTCTGACGATTGTATAGAAATTACATCACTTTCGCTAATTACCTTACCAGAATAAAATAGATCATCTTTACACGAAATCATCGATTATCGAACACGTTGAGTGTTTTTAAGTGTCGGTAACGCTGCGCGTATTTAATAAATTTATGAACAAACTATACAGCGAGCACAGTAAACCTAGTAAACCACGTAACCTTTCCTACGACCATGAATTTTGCGATACATTTTTGCAAAACAGCACGAATATATACACTGATTAACATGTGAGGTGACTGTCGGTATTGGCATACGTCAAAATGGCCAAGCGGCGCCCTTTGCAGTGCACCCTACCAACTTAACCTCTACAACAAGGCGGTGAGACAACAGTCATCACGAATGGGATAATAAATGCTTGTCGCTACAGGG